GGGCTCTCCCGGGGAAGAGAGCATAGGCTTATTCTGTACAGCTCCCAAAGGCAGGACAAGAACAACGTCTGGAAGCTTCACAGTGAGAGCGCCCCACTTGAAATCCTGCCTGCCCACAAGAGCTGCAAAGCAGTGGCACTGCCTGCCTCCCGGAGGAGTCCTGGGCTCCGTCCCTGGAGGGTCTCAAACCAAGGCTGGGCAGCATTGATGGTCTGAGGACAGGCGGCTGGACTAGGAGACCTCCAAGCTCCCTCCCAACCCTCGGATTCTCTGACTGAATTTCCGTGTTAGGAGGGATGAGCAATCTTCGGCTTTCTCCAGATTAGTTTAGAGCACGGTCAACCCACTGTTGCAGGAAGGAGAGCAGTCCAGACCGTGCCTCCTAACCCACTCTTTTTCTGCCACCAACCTGCATTCAAATTGCAAGATTTTATCACATTTCGGTTTCACTTCCTTCTAATAAGCCTCTGAAAGGCTATGGCAGGGTATATCTCAGCCAGAAATGCTGGCTCTCCATTCTTCCCCCTCTTCCTCCTCCTCCTCCTCCTCCTCCTCCACCTCCCCGCCCTCCACCCCCTGGCTTGTGTTGCTCCTGCAAGGGCTGGCTGGAATGTGGTTCGTCTGGGTCATTATTGCCAGCAACCCAGCAACTGACAAAACACGAAACGAACTCTCCCGCGCCCAGGTTCATGCCGTTTTGGAAACTTTCAGGGTTTTTAATGTTCTCTTTCATTATGTACATGCAGAGTCCTAAAGTGAACAGTCTGTGGGAGGGTTGGGAGGGGCGGCAGCCTGAAACCCAGGAGCCTTTTTTGATTGATTTATCAGACTTCTATGCTGACCTTCCTCCAGGACAGCACACGTGCCCGCACACACACATTTCTCCTCCAACTTTTCCCCACACCAGCGGGCCTGTAAGGAAGTTGGGCTGGGAAAGACTGACCCCGAAGGGTCCAGGAGGGTCTCCCAGCTCCTCGTCTGGCCCTTCAGCCGCTGCAGCCTGACTTCACCTTCATGGTTCCCCCAAATTCAGGGCTCCCTGAGCCAGGATGGGGCCGCTTTGTTCCTGGGGTGAGCCAAGGGGGGCCCCAGCGCTCTCCTCTGAGGGTAGAGCCCTGGCCCAGTCCCCGCCAAGCCAGGACTCAGGTCCCAACAGCCAAGGGCCCCCTGCGCTGGGAGCACCCTCTGTCCCCTGGTGCGCCCTTCCTCTTGAGACCTGGGGAGCAGGAGCCCTCCTGGCGGCCTGGCGGAGAGCAAGCCAACCAGCCACGCTCCCATCTGGCCAGACTGCCGAGGACTGCTAGTGCCCCCATCCAATCCTGGAGGCAGGCAGGGCCACCCTGCTCAACGTCCAGGAAAGGGGTATGAAGCTCTCCCTGGGGAGAGGCCACGGCGAAGGGGAACGTGCCAACCGGGACCAGCCCAGGGGTGGGAGAAGCGTCCTCTGGGAGGCAACTGCACAGACACACAGGACACGGAGGGGGCAGTGGGGGGGCGGGGGAGGCAGCTCCAACCACTTGGAGGCACCCTCGTCCCGTCTCTGCAGCAGGTTGAAGGTCCAGGAAAGCAGCTGAGTCGGGAGTCCAGTCTGACGATTTCGCCTTCTCTGTTCCAACCCACAGTTAGGTGCTCCCTGAAAATGGAAGGATGGTGGTTTAGACCACGAGGGCCAATCACAACCACCCCCAAATATTGGCAACAGACCACCAAGAAACAGGAAAGACTGCATCGTAGGCTTAAAATAGCAGGGGAGATACCATTGGGTGAAACATCTATAGAAAACAGGGTCCTTCTCAACAATCCCCTTGCCTTGGATGGACAATCCGGGGGCAAATTGCAAGGGTGGTGCTGGCCTCCCCAGCTACCTCACAAGCCCTCAGTCTGAAAGGGCTGCCATTTGGCCAGCTAACGTTTTAAAGTTCAGTCCCAGGGCCAGCCACCAGCCAAGAAGCCCTGGCTGGCATGACTGAACTTATTCGACTGGGAAGGGGCTGGCCACCTCGGCCACAGCTGCATTCATGGCCTCTCCGCCAGTCCTCAAGCCCCCGAGAAGAGGGTCACATAAAATTTGCTAAGCCATTGGTGGAGTCCTTGTCTGCTGTCCAATGATGGTGACCTTATTTTATTTATATTTCAAATTTAGTCACTGCCCATCTCACTCAGAGAGCGACCTTCCTGTTTTAATGGGGACAGGTCAAGGAAGGCGATTGGTGGAGCCCCCAACTCCATTTCCTTTCCCACCAGACATTGCCTGTGGTGTGAAAACTGCCACCAGTCCATCTTCGTGTAAACAGCTACTCGGAACCCTGGCATGTTTTGCCAGCTGCCAAGTTGCCCGACTAATAGGCTGCAGGCCTAGACAGGGTTGCCTCGTGACCTTGTGACCAGCATGCGACACTGTCCTGGCTGATGGGCTGCAGGCACTGAGGATGGAGAAGGTTGAGGGGGTCAAGAAGCACAAGCTCATGAAACTCCTTGTTGGCAGGAGCAGCAGAAACCCTGCCGTGCACCCAAGGGTGGCAGACTGCTCATCCTGTTTTCCAAGATAAGTCTAGGGATCTTTCACAAAGCTCTAAAACCATGTTGATAAGGAGCTCATGTAAAACCCGACAGGCACCTCAGGAAGCACCAGTCAGACATTATGCAGGCAGATGTTTCTTGGAAGCCAGGTGTCCAGTCTCCCCTGAAGCCCAAACTAGAATGACCACAAAGGGCAGGTTCCAGCAACCATCAATGAAAGACTAAGCTGTATCCACAGCAGACATTTGGGTTTGGGGCTGGAAAACCCTACGTACTTTAAAACTGGGAAGAAGCTAAGGATGGCCTCAAGCTGACCTGGATGTGGGCTAGGAAAAAGGAAAAGGCCACAACAGGGAGACGCGGTGCTCAAGACAGTTACCCAGCCAAGTTGGTGCCATGGTTAGCCGGACGTGAGGATGGGTCCTTCCTCCCGGAGTGAGGTCAAAGCCCCAGACCCTGAAAGTGTTTCAAATCCTCCATATCAGCACCAACTGATAGGTGGCCTCAGAAAGGAAGGGCCTGGCTCTAGAGAAGATCTGGAGGCACCACCGCCCCTGCCCTGCTTGACCCCGTGAGGAGTCTGCCTTCAGCCTCCGACCTTCTGGAGCCTCCTAATCTTTGCCTTCAGCTGATGAGCGGTTGGTACTTACCCTAGGGTGACCTGCAGGCTTTGAGGCACTCATCTTCAGATTCAAAATTGTTCTTGTTCCCCCCACAGCCGCCATAGATGAACTTCTCACACTTCCGAGTGGAGGCGTTGTAGAAGAAGCGTAGAAACATCGCCTTGCAGTTTCCGCAGACAGAGGGGAGCTGGCAGATATCTGCGGCAGCCAGAGAGACACAAGGTGAGACAGGAGAAAAGGGGAAATACTTTCTGAAAGCCGCCCCCCCCCCCCTGGACATTGGCAGGGCACCCACCCTCTCAGAAAGGAAGAAGGTTTGGCTGTCCCCAGCCAACAGCGGGGTGGGATGTGTGGAGGCTGTGGACGTGGCGCGTCCCCCGCTGGCACGAAGCAAGCCCCGGCTTTGGATTACACGGTAGCCTCGTGCCTCAAAGATGGCGCCTGCACTCTGCTCGCCTTGCAGTCTTCCCGTCCCCAGCGCTTGGCCGGGGCTGAGAGGGCCCACCTTGCAGGGCACAATCACACAGCTGGGGAAGCCAGTGTTTGGACCCCACACCTCATTCGCACTTCAGCAGGGAGTAGTGCCTGGGTCTGGAAGTCAGGCCTGGCTAGTGGCCGGACGGGAGACGGTCGCTAGTCACCCACCGCCGCCAGTAGAGCTGCAGGGACGTGTCTGTGGAGGCACCAGCAGGGCAGTGCATGCTGAAGCACCAGACCGCTCTCCACCCAGCCGAGGGGCCCAACAGCTGTTGTGGGGTTCCTGATCTCACTACCAGAGCACGCTGTGCAAAAACGGGGTGGGCCTTCTCTATGGAAGTGCCCCATAAGTGAGCCTGCCGCCCTGCCAGGCCTGTGGGCAGGCGGGTGTCTTGGCAGCATTTGGTGCTTGCTCGCCCAGTTTGCCTGTTTTCCTGCTGCCTGGAAAATGCCCCTGCTGAGGCTCTGTGCTAAACGTTCCTCGGGTCGGCTTCGAGAGCCTTGAAGTCTCATAGATGGATAATTTGGGAAAATCCTCTGATAAGAACTAGACGTTCCTTTCTATGACGGGTTTCTTCTCAGTTCCTCCAGCTCCTCGAATGGCGCTGATTTCAGGGCTTGCAAAAGAGCAGACAGGACTGAACAAGCTGATACTTCAGCCCAGCAAAGCAGGTTGAACTGATCTCTTAATCTCCAATTTCAGAAGCATTTGTCCAAAAGACACAGCTCCCACTCCATTATCTCCCGTGCTGCCAACGTCCTTTGCTGTTCTGCCTTCCGCGACACCATTTATTTATTTATTACTGCCAAGGATTGTAATGATGCTTGCGTGACTCTGTCGTAGACGGGATGGCGGAAGTGTAAAGCGCAGGAGGACTGAGCTCTTTCGGAGAGAAGGAGGAGCGAACGAGCAAGTGAGGGATAAACAAAATGCCAGCGCGATCAAGCCAAGGCAGGAGGCCAACAGGGCGTGCAGCTCCCTGAGGCGCTGGGGAAGGTCAGAACGGAACCTCAGCATTTGCATCCTCCCCTTTGCCGCGGAATGCTTGCCGTGCGCTTCTGCCTGGTCAACAGCCTCCGGCCCCACCCTTGTGGCGATGCGCCGAGGTGTTTCCCTTCCACACCAAGCACAGAAACTGGAAGAAATGCCAGGCACGCAGCAGGGAAGTATGGAGGGGCGGGTGTCGGCATCTCCCTCCCCGTCTCTCTCCCAGACCCAAATCCTCCCAGCCCCACTGCCCCTCCAGCCTATGGCAGCTGAGGAAGCTGCGGTGAACTGGCTGGAGGATTTTCATCTCAGGCGCAGCAAAGGGCTCCGTTTTTGCAGGTGAGGGAGCACAGGATGAAGTTACACCTGACAAGATGCTCTCCACGTGGGGCTGTTACAAATAGGAACAGTGTGCCCCGGAGGGCACCTCAGAAGAGAAGCAATTACAGAAACATAGAGGAGCGAAGGAGAGGAAAAGGCCCATCAGAGCAGGGGGATCTGGGACATCACACGTCACCCTTGAAATATCCAGGCTTGGAGGACAGTCACCTAGGAGGAGTTGACGGAGCAGCCCTTTGGCTCCCTTGTTCTGCCTGAAGGCAGGACTGCCAGGACAACACTCAGACTACAGTAGTCAAATGTGTAAGATTAGAAGTTGACAGAGACTGCTAATGATTTCAGAAAGGAACCTTGCAAACCAATTCTGAAGCAATGATTATACCACCATGCTCTGCCCCATTCATTTCGGTTTTGCCTTGGAGCGGACCAGCCCAGCCCGTAGGAACTGGAGCATGGGCCAAAGGCAGCCGTGATGCTCCACAAAGGAGATCTGGCAGCCAGCTAGGAGTCCTTCCTGCTCCTGCGGAGCCAGGCCTCCTTCTGTCCCCATGGTGCTGCCTCTTGTAGGCTGGGGCTCCTTGCTTCTTGCTTTCCAGTCAGCTTTGAACAGGAGGCCAATGGGATTGCAGAGGCCAGGATGTGGGGTAGCTGGAAACGGGTTTCCGTCCTCCTGCGGCCACCAACTCTCCACACTGCGCAACATGTTGCAAGCGGGCAAGTCCGTCCTCGGGGCGGCACCCCACCTGGCCCTGCTCAGCCAAGACATCCGGCTCAGCTTTGCTCTGCTGAGGGCAACTGGACTGTGGCATCTCTGAGATCTCCATCAGCACTATGAACTAGGACATTGCCTGAACCATGCAAATGTCTGCTTCTTCTACCAGAAACATATGTGATCTAAGGAAGAGCTGTCTCCCTCATGGTGCGTCCTGAAAAGGTTGAAAGGTCTAAAAGCGACAGAGGCAGGGGTGGCACAGGGATTTCTTGGATGGTCTGTCCACTCCCATCCGTGACAGAAAGGAAAAACACAGGTAAACAAGAGACTGAGGAGGCAACTCACCCATAATGGCTTCCTGGCAGACATAGCCACAGTTGCCAGGGCAGCATTTCTGGGTGCCAGGGCACTGGTCATCACTGGCACAGGTGGAGCAGGACTTGTTCTTCAGGCAGGCACTGCAGTCATGGGCGTCAAAGACGTCTCCCAAGGGTGGCACGTTGTAACAGTGGCCATCCTTGGCTGCAAAGCACAAATGAGAAGTGAAGCACACGGAGAGAACCACCAAGAAGGTGGCCTCCACCCTTGGGAGAAGAGACTCTGGGGGCTAATTCTGCTTCAGAAGTGCTTCTCCAAGAATCCCTCCCATTATTTAGCTTTCTCCAACTCCTCCTGTCAGTGAGAGGACAGATCCAGCCTGTCCAGCAACCAGTTGAGTAGGGACGGATGGATGGATGACGTGCCATCACGTCTCCTACACAGATAGCTGAGCCGGGAGCTGCCATCACGGCAGCTTCTCAGATAGGGTTAATCTTTGGTATAGGCAGCTGAGCGTCTGGGTGAAAGCTCCTGGGTGTCTCTAGAAAGGATTCCCATGCCAGCAGGAGAGCTGGGGCCAGTCACCCCCTCCCTCCCCAAGGCTTAACCTAACTCATAGGGCTGTTGGGGGAGAAGAAGGAGGGAAGGGAGGCAAGGGGAACTCTCAGGCCCTGGAAGAAGGACAGGATACAACATCTATCTTTTCCAAGGACTTGGAAAAAAACCTGTATCCTTGACTTGTATCTGGTATTGCTGGAATGAGTGGTGTCCACAAAAATAGAGACAAATTAAGCTCTGCCCACTGCAGTCAGCTCTGGTCCAGGGGTGAAGAGAAAGAACCCCTACAGGCAGCCCCCGGGTTAAGAATGAGTTAGTCTGTCTTTAGCTTGAATTTGTATGTAAGTCAAACTCATACTTACAAACAGTTTGCCTATTAGTAAAAATGGCAGACGGCATTCTCTTTCCTCAAGTTGAAGAACCATTAAAGCCACGCAATATTTTCATGAACCACTGAAAACAGGCTGTATATTAAAAACACACGTTCGTAAGTATGAGTTGTCTGTAAGTTGGACATTCTTAACCCAGGGACTGCCTTACAGTCAAAAAATGATACATGTAAAAACAGGCTAGGCTTCCTTTGCACCATCATGGCTGCCATCCTAACTTTTTTGACCTTACCATGAGGACACCCTTCTAAAGGACAGGCCCACCTGGGGGCAGATTCAGATATTCATTATCCACACTAGGAAAACAGGGATCCTTCAGCTCTAAGGGTGTTTGGGGGCCCGGGATCCCCCACAAGGGCTCTGTTACCACGTACCCAGTTCTGGAGTTTGGGCACAGCAACTAAGATCCACGGGGGAATCTGAGGCTGCAGTGCTTGTATCACCCACTGTTCCACGGACAACCACAGCAGCGGTGCAGGGCCTCCCTGTGCATCTGGAGGCCCAGAAACCCAGCACAGAGCAAGGTACTTTTGGCTGCTGGAAGAGGTGCAGCTGGAAGCAGGGCAGCTGCTGTGAGTGCGTGTGTGTGTGTGCGTGCATGCACACCCACGCGCATGTGAGTGGCCCCATAGCAACTTTCCCCTTTCAGAGACCTGGATCTCCCCGTGGGCTGAGTGCACTCACCTCGGTCCCCTTGGCCAGCCGAGGGGGTGCCCTGGACCCCAAGGGCAAGCAGGGCCAGAGCGAGGAGGAGCCCGCGGGTCTTCATGATGCTGCCAGAGCCGCATCTGCGTCCAGGAGCCAAGCCAGGCTGGATTTAAAGAGCCAGCAGGTGGGGCTGCCTGGTGCCGCTCTTACAGGAGCCTCTCCCAGCAACTGTGTGAATTCCCTGCTCAGCCGGCCCCGGGCCAGCCCTGCCCAGACAGGTTCCCCTAATCCAAGGTGTCGCGGGGAGCCAGCTGGATTGGAGGTGGGGTGCAGGTGTCGCCCTGCCGTGCAGGCACCGCAGGGATGACCCAACCCAAGTGGACCTGCGCATTCGTCCTGCCGCTGCAACACACATGGAATTGGCCTGGACGTGGGGCGGTGCAGAAAAGGTAGCCGGGTGACCTGTAGGCCGCTGGCAGAAACCAAACTGGTGCGGAGGAGCCAAACAGCCCAGGAAGCAGACCAGAGCCGTTCCCTCAGAGGGGGAGGGCTTCGGGGCCCACCTTCAGCCCCATCTTCTCTGCACCCCATCCCACTCTCCAGGGTCCAGGACTTTGCCAGGGCTGATCAGTGTATCCAACATGGAAAATTGACCACTTCCTCCTTGAATCAAGCTGGCAGTCAACAGGAAAGGATTACACCTTGTCCAGAAGCAATTCTTGCTGACTTCCAAGTGCCTCTCAACTTGGCAACATTGCTTTGCTTCGCTCGCTTCTGCGTGGTAGGAGTGCCCGACTCTCTCCCCCAGCCTGCCATTCAGCTGTATTGTCAGAGAGGCGATGCAATTGTCCTCTGTTTAATGGCAATAGTCCCTGGAAGTCCAGCGGCAAACAGAATAAATAAATAAATAAATAAATAAATAAATAAATAAATAAATAAATAAATAAATAAAATCGCGTTCTCTTCCTGGTTGCTCAGGCTGGAGGCAAAGCACCCGGGCAACTGGCAGGTTGATACCAGGGGGTTAGGATTTGCCCACACCTTCCCTTTCAATACCCAAAGCACCCATTTATCCTGACCTTCCCAACCTGTTTCCCCCCAGCTGAGGCGAACTAGATGGGCTGCAGGCCATGCTGATTGAGAACAATGGGAGCTGTAGTCCATTGTGATGCTTGGAAATAAAAATCTGGATTCACACCAAAGTGACCTTGACTGGACTGGCTCTATTTGCAAAATAAGCGTGAGGTCTTTTTGTGTTCCGTTTGCATGCTGAGACAAAAAGCAAGCCAGTGAGTTGAGAGCTACAGATCGGAGCCGCTGCAAAGCCTGGGTGTCTTTGAAGATTACCCCTTGCTTAGTAGGGTCTGCTGCCTAATAAATGTGACTCTTTAGTAATGACTACAGAAGGTTTTTCGTTCTTTTCAGCTACAAACCCAGCACACACGCCTCTGATATTATCTCCAACTTTCCACTTGCTTTTCTTTTGAAGGCCACTTACTTTAACTGCTAGATCAGCCCATGTGGAATCTCTTCTGGAGTGAGCCTTGCTCAGCAGTTTGTCAGGAACTGAAAGGGGCAGCCCGGTGAGATCTCCCCCAGCGTGCAACTCTCAACCGATGTAAGCCAGGCTCTCACCCCTGCATGACTTGCTCCAGCAAGTGAACAGCTGGCTCAGAGAGTTGTCATCTAGTGTTCATTCCTCACCATGGACCGTATCTAGGCATTGGACAGCTTGGGCACTGGTTAGTGGGCAAGAGATCTACCAGCAGGTAACTATTGCCAAGTTTGGCCAGATCTTGGCCTCAGTTGCTCAAAACTGGAGCTGATCCATGATCCTCTCACCTTCCTTGGTTCAGGTACAGAGAACACAGCATTCTTCTTCTGCTGGGCAGGGCAACAGGCAATACCACTCTTTCTCCCATGACAGTGTGCCAAGTGCTCCACCCCAGCTGGAAGCTGCTGCGCTTGGGTCTGCCAAGGCCAATCCCACGCCAGAACTAGGGCCCTGGCTGCTGCCGAGGCGTATCTGCTGGATGGTCCATCCCCCTCCTCCTGCTGCAGCCCATTCTTCTAAGCCGCTTCTGCAACAAAGGGCTGATGGAAACTGTCAGTGCGAGCAATTGTCACCTCAGTTTGCGGGTACACAAGTTGGCAAGCAAATACTTGTTGGCGACTCAATGACTACAGCTGCAGAATGATTTCAGGGTGAAGTTGGGCTGCCAAAGTTCTGTCATCCTCAGAGCCCAGCTTCTTCTGGAGTTCACCCAAGGACTTTTCTAAGAAAAGAACCGGGACAGAGCCTGGCTTGGCATGGCTGTCTCTGTGCTTAAGAGGCTCACTACGAAGAAGAATGGCTCACGTGCAGAAAGAACCTTTGCCGCTCCCAGGGATCAAGGAGACACAGCCGACTGCCTTGCCATGTCACGCGTGGCCCCCTGAGGTCAGAGCTGCCTCTTGAACAACAGATGGGTGAAGTTCCATGGGGTGGCGATATCCTCAGAACCAGGTGTTGGGCCAGGTGGATCACAACCTTCAGATTATGATGGAAATAACCAGCAATCTTACAGTGCTTGTGTGTAAGACCACCAGGCAGCCCTGGGGCCACTGGGATGGTCCTGATGCTGGCCCCTCCAGACCAAGTTTATCCCAGACAATTAAACTCAGTTTGTGAGTTATGTAGCCCACTGGGATGGCAGGCTGCCTGTTGCATGCTTGGCCCACTCTCTGCGACCCTGAAGCCGTGGTTGAGATTTGGCTGCCCAGGCTGCCAGTCTCAACCATGCAGTCGATAGCTGTGAGCCATGTCCAATGCCAGGGTCCTGCACCACAGGAAGTGCAGGACTTCCAGTGGCAGACCTCCTCTCACCTCACCAGGTGCACCTATTAATGTTGTACAGATGTTTGTGCTCTAAGAGCGCAAGGCCATGTTCTTTATTTCCCAAACTCTGAGCACTCAGGAAGGCCATAAATTTTATGAGCCAGTGTCACTGAGTGGTTTAAGCCAGGGTTCCTCAACCTTGGCAACTTTAAGATGGGTGGACTTCAACTCCCAGAATT